TTTTTTTTTTTTTTTTTTTTTTTTTTTTTTTTTTTTTTTTTTTTTTTTGGGCAAGTTCTAATTAAATAATTATTAAAGTTTAGCAACTTGATATCTCATTCCAATCTTAATCCAGTCCAATTTCAAACACTTTGATTGGTCTAACCGATTAGTCAAGAATGGGATAGATTTTTGTCTTGTTTCGAAGAGAATCAAATTCGATTTTTTTAAAAATTAGAGATGAAATGGTATCATGAATTTGTCTTTGAGCTCTTAATCGAGTAGCCACTTTACACGTGTGTGAGAGCTAAAATATTTCTTATAAGTGCGTGGGAATCTCTCTATAATAGATACATTTTAAAACTGAGAATGACGGTGAATACATAAGTTTGTTACAAAATATGTAGCGTTGCTCTAGATGAAACACGTGCATTTTGAAGAAAGTCGAGTTCTCTCTTTTAATCATAACATTTGAATTTTATTTATTCATTCTTTCCGTGGAAGCAATTTTAATGGCCTGGTATATTTTTTTATAAATCTCAAATATATCACTAAAAGGGTAAAATAGTAATTTCAAGATTACTAAAAACTAAATGTAGATATAAACATTTTGAAATTATAAATTAAATAGAAATTAAACTCCTAATATTTGAGTAGTTAGTTTTTGCCATTATATAATAAAATTAAAGATAATTGTTGGAGTATTTAATAATCAAATGCTAATTAATAACAATCGCTCGATAACTTTAATTTCGTAAATCAAACCTGGCAGCTGGACTAACTTTATGAATATATATCTATATATATATATATATATATATATTCTGCCGGGCTAAAAAGGAATCAAAAGGAAAAAAGGGAAAAAAAGTGAAAAAAAAAAAGAAAAAAAAACGATTGGTTTCTTTTATCTTTTAATTTTTTTTCCTCGATGCATACTTTTATTCCGATTCTTTCCTTGCAACTTTCACCATGACTTTGGTTTTACATAAATTTTAATCCATTCGGTCTTATCCAAAGCATTAAAAAAAAAAAAAAAAAAAAAA